CGGCGGATCTCTCGGAGAGCCACGGTACCGGGCCTGTAACGGTGGGGCTTCTTCACTCCACCGGTAGCCGGGGCGCTCTTACGGGCAGCCTTAGTAGCCAGCTGCTTCCTGGGAGCCTTTCCTCCGGTGGATTTACGGGCGGTCTGCTTGGTTCTTGCCATGGCGGACTAGGTGCTTATCTCTCAGCAACTGAGGAAGATATGAACCCACAGTGGAAACAGCGGCTTTATAAAGAGGAGTGCGACGTGGAGTAGCCTCTAATTGGACCAAATTAAACACGTGCTATAGCCCGTACAACTCAGCCATTGGTTGAGTTGAAATTTCAAAATAAAGCGCGAGATGTCTAAATAAAGAAAGAAAAAGCGGGGAGTTTCAAAGCGGAAAATCACAAGAAATTTTCTATATGAAATCAAGCAATATCCGAAAATCTTACTTTATGTCTAGTTTACAAGTTAAACGGAAATCCTCACATTCAACACATTTATTCATATGTTGCTCATTTTATTTGTTTGGGTATAGTTCACTATGCAGGCTGGAGCTTGAAATAAATATGGATTACATTTTACCACATTCATCTTTTCCTCCTAATTAAATTAATCTCCTTTCTATCTTGAATAATGAAAATAAAAACCAAAGTAAAAGAAGAAATTGTTTTTGCTTTGGCGAAGTTTTTGATTAGATCAGCTGATAATGAATGTCTTTATAGTTTTGCTTTCCAAAACCAGTTCAGCAGTTAGAAAAATAGCTCAGTGGAAACTGTCTTAAACATGGTTATTCCTAAAATTAGAGGAAACATATTTGTCAAATACAATCTTGAGGTGTAGTTATTTGTTGGTGTTAATGTTGTCACAATTTGCACATTTGGAAATATTATTTGAATCTGAATCATGTGGAGTTCCATGGGGTTCAGTTATGAGTGAAATAAACAGATTTTAATTTAATTCCATTGATAAGCCTCTCTAATCACTGCCTTGAAGTATGAGGATATTAATCTATTTAATTCAGTAATTAATTTAATGCTTATAAGGAATGAGCTCTTGAGATGAAGCTGTGGTGGCTCTGAAAAGAGCCTTTGTTGCTTTGTGCTGGTTGAAGCAGCAGTCTACTTCTTGGCCTTCTTAGCTGGGGCCTTTTTAGCTGCAGGTTTCTTAGCTGCAGGTTTCTTAGCAGCAGGCTTCTTAGCAGCCTTTGGCTTCTTGGCAGCAGGGGCGGCCTTTTTGGGGCTCTTCTTCACCACCTTTTTCACGCTTTTCTTGGCTGCTGCTGCCTTCTTCGGAGACTTCTTGGCTGCTGTCGCTTTCTTAGCAGCGGTGGCTTTTTTCGGGGTGCTGACCTTCTTGGCGGCGGGCTTCTTGGCTTTTGCGGGAGCCTTCTTCTTCACCACCTTCTTGGCTGGTTTAGCGGATTTGGACTCCTTGGCGAGCTTGAAAGAACCGGAGGCCCCGGTCCCCTTGGTGTGAGCCAGGGTGCCGTTGGTCACCAACTTAGTGATGGCCGTGTTGATCCGCTTGTTGGCTTTAGCTACATCCACCCCTTTAGCAGCCAGGACCTTCTTCACCGCCGACAGAGACACTCCTTTGCGCTCCTTGGACTCGGCCACGGCGTCCACGATCTGCTTGGACAGGCTGGGTCCATCCTTCTTGGCCTTAGGAGCGGACTTCTTCCTCGGGGCTTTTGCCGGGGCTTTAGCCGGTGCAGCTGCTGGAGCTTCTTCTGCCATGTTTCTCTCTTAATGTTCCTCTGAACGTCTCCAGCTCAGAGCAGGAGGCGGGATTTATAATATGGATGAGAACCCTGAAGAAACAACTCAGCCTGCTGCTCTGCTCCCGCCTCAAATCGCTCCGCAGTTGTGTTTTCTTCGTGACATTTAAGGCTTTAAATCTTCGCTAAAATAAAGTTTTTTATCATAGAACTTACTTTAATGAAAAGGAAATTGTCTAATCTACACAATGAGGTAGCATTTGGTTTCCAGGACTTTCTCTTTTTAACTCAGGAACGCTCAAAAGTGTCTGAAGCTCATTGTTTCGCAGCATCAAGAGGCGGATTTTCTCCACATTTCGTCCTTTAAAACATATAAAACAATTGTTCAAATGACATTAAGACGAGAACCTCGCTAAAAAACAAAGCAATGAAAAGAATACAAATGAAATGGTTTCGTTAGTGTCATTATTTCAGATGGAAATGAGGAAGGTTCTCCCGGCAGTAAACACACAGAAACTGTCAATGAATCGGTTGGTCAGGATTCTCTCTTGGACGACAGGGTTGGAAATTAACACTTTGTCTATCAAATAGCCTATTTAACACACTCAGACACACAAAAAGTACATACTAATGTTGTAGTTTACTTAAGAAGAGAAGATGACGTGCAGATTTATTAATTAAATAGATCCCTCCTGTCTCTGATATGACTGAATCAGGCACTAAATTCCTTTTCACTCCTTTAAATAAACTCAAGGCCATCATACATTTTACACAAATCCTATTTTCTGATGACCTTATAAAACATTTAGGATTTATTACTTACAAATGAATTTGTTGTGAGCGTACATAATGAAATCCAAGAAGGAGAATTTATTAAGCTCCTTGTGCCCTCTTACCTCTAGACAATGAAAAATGATCACAGATAAATCAAACAGCAACTTAACATTTAAATACAGCCATAGAGCATTAGAGGAAAAAATTCCCACAAGATATTAGATTGATACATTTGTAGAATATAAGTTATTTGTTAAGAAAATATAAATATGTCTTAAGCAATGTCAAGGAAGAGGAGCAAGGCATTATGGAATCTATCCTTTAAAAAATACATTAAATATAATTCATAGGCCAGCTTCAGAAGAAGTCTCATCAAGACAATTTGGATGAGTTATGTTTTTGATTTATTCCCAATTACTGGTGTTACAACAAAACAATATATTATATGTAAGGATAAAAGAAAAGGAAACGCAGCACTTGTTTACCTACAGTAAATAGATGAAGTATTTTCATGTTATTGACCGTTTGAGGGATTTATGTTGAAACCTCTGTGTAGGTTTTTAAAACAAATTTTCTTAAAATCTGCATGAAATTTAAACAGATAAATGCCTGTTTATGTCTTGAATGGTCAAACAGAAAACCTTAAAACTAACAAGCAAAAAATTCTTACATGTCCTGCTAGTTTGGTTTAGTTTTGTTCATGCAATTTCTTTATTTTTTACTACAACATGTTACTTTTTAACAGGTTTCAAAGACTAACTTCAGATTTCCCTTCCTGGTTCAGATTGTCTACAGATGGTTTAAAAAATCAAACTGTATCTCTTTACAGCAGGGGTCTTAAATGTTTTCCAGGCCAATAAATGGTTTTGTTCTCAGATCCTATATCGCATCAGGTCTCCCTCTCTGTTGTGGCCGTTTGTTCGTACCGGGCCATAGGCTACGCGCTCACATCATTTGACATGGTGATAACAAATAAAATTGGAGCCAATGGAGCTCATCAAAGCAGCTCAGTGGTCTTAAAGAAAACAAAGTAAAACTAGTCATACTGACTATAATGTTTGTTCCCAATTCCTCAAGTTTAAATGTAATTAAGATGGAAGTACTTAGAGGAGCTCCAGTTTTATAAATACGGGTTTATAATATGATTATATTTTATATTTATTTCGATTCCTTTACTAACTTCTAAGCAACAAATGTATGTTGTTTTTTTATTTGAAATAGAAATAATAAAATGCCTAAGAATTAAATTGTCAAATTAAAGGACTGAGTTTTTTTTTAATAATCAGTTACTCTACGTTTTACTTTTGGACAATCATCAATACCTCTCAAGTCAAAAAGGAAAACACAGGTCTAAGCTGTGGTTTTAGCTCTCTATCTCCCTCTAGTGTTTAAATTATGAAACAACAAGTATGTGACAACACCACCAAACATTGCAGCGACCTTTAATGATCTACCATGGTCACTGATATGACACATTGGTGCTGTTATGACATGTTCGCCATGTGGAAGAGGCTATATCAACATTAAATCTCCTTTGTTTGAGATCTGGAATTGGATTATATTTCAGGTGAACAATTTTATATTGTTAAAACACTTTACAGTACAGAGTTTATTGTTTATCTTTTAACTCTTCACTAGTGTGTTAT